TTCGAAGTTATCCTTTTTTGGTAGTTAATTGTCGGTGAAATGTACTGTCGGTGAAATGATTGTCGATGAAATAATACAGACCCGTGTTACCTACAGGAGATTTGCCTAAACCGAGAAATAGCTATGATCTGCAGGTATTATGACTGCAATTGGCACGTTGATAAAAGTTACAATTTATTTCATTAATTTAGTGGCGAATAAACCTGTAATCTATGGTTTATTTGTAACTTGCACGCGTTTATTTCAAAGATTTGTCCCTCTTCCAGTTAAATACGATGTTATACTTTTTCCGCATTTAGGCAATAGAAGTTCTACTTTAAAACATATGTCACGACTAGTATGTCAAAATAAAGTAATAAAACATTTCGATAAAAGATTATTGCATTGGGAAATTGGTTTGGGTACTGGTGCTTGTCCTGTTAAATTAGTTTATTCTCGCGATATTAAAAGGTTAACGGGCAGCAGATGTCCAATTGCTTTGATGAATAAAAAATAATAAAAAGAATTAAATCGTGCGTAAAACTATCGAACCCACAAAGTTTAATCGAAGCACCGCGATCATTCGGGAGAATATTGTTACCTCGATGGTATTTATTCCAAATGTCATGCATTACAGCAATATTCTGTAAAACGCGGAAGACATAACAGCTCATCCTTCTTGATGCGAATTACTCACCACTTTCAGTGTTCCATTTTGTCTAATTTGAAAAATCAAGTACAATATCAATATTTCATGTTTTTTCTGTATTGGCATGCTCATTTGCTTTATTATTTTTTTGCTAAATTATTCTAGATATTTAACTATATTAGTAAAAAGCCTGCTATGCAAGCCATGTAACTTTAACATAATGTTACTAAATATATGTAAATGTATTAATGAGCAAAAGATCTCTTTGTATTTTAGAACGACAATTTGTATTCCACAAAACATACAGTGAATTTGTTGTACTTTCAAATAGGTTTTTAAAGTGCTTTATTTTTTCAATTCAACTTTGTTTATACAGTAATTATCTAGAACACTTGGTGTAGAATTAGTAGTCTGTGTCATCAGCATGGAAGCATTTGGCAAAATGTACAGATATAATATGTTCAATAGCATTGTCTTAGCACTGACAATTACAATTTGCCATTTTCAATGCCTCCCAGCTTGCATTTGCACTGAGAAATTTATGACTTTTGACATCCCATATCCCAAAGTGGCTCCATAAACTCAGCGTTGCTGGTTTTTTTTAAAGATTTCCACACATTTACAGCATAAATTTCATTGACAGATTTCCTAGATTCCACTCCTCGAGAAATCATATCATCAAATTTCAATGGATGAGAAGATATAATCTTGACACAGAGAATCAAAGCTTTGAATTTAACTGCTACCATATCATGACTCGAAGGAAGCAAAGCTTTGAGTCCTGACTCATCTATTTTTTTAATCAACCAATGAAGTCGATGATAGGCCATAATTGAGCATTGATTCATATGCCTCTTTGAGATGTCCAAGTCTGTGATTATATATGCAAAAGTAAACTGATTATGTATGTATGCAGACCTTTGAAGTCATCCAAGTCATAAACCTAAATAACACGTAAAACATTTTTATAAAAATAAAAAAGACTTCAAAGAGTGATTAATATGTGATCAACTCAAGAAAGAATCATGCAAAGATAATCAGATTGTTTCAAGATATGTTTGGTGCTATGAAGACACATATATTTATTCCAGAGCATCTTTGAGAATTGGGCCTCATTGAATAGTAGAGTCAAACTCTAAATGTTTAATGATTAAGCAATATGCATACACAATCTCTTTTATTTTTTAATATTAATATCCTGAAACCTTATTAGCTTGAAAGTTTTAGATACACCTTTTGCAAAATAAACTATTATAAAGCCAGTCAGTAAAATTGATAATGCCTGTTATTTTTCTTCCTTTTTCTCAATTTTCTCATCTTTTCCATTTTTTTCTTCTTTTTCTCCATTTGTTTCTTCTTTTTCATTTCGTTCACAAATGGGGTAATGTCAAATTCTCCTGGTACATCTGAAAGAAAGAAAAAGTTATAAAAGATTAAGGTAAAATGTGAGCAAAATATATATACATACATTTATGCAGCACAAACACAGTTCCATCCTCTAAAACATCCCATGCCGTCTGATCGTCATAGGTCATTTCAGATTCCATAATTTCGAAATAATCACCAAGATGCCATAATGCATGACTGTCTGAATTCCAGTCAAACACGCGACTGAAGCAATCCATAAAAAGCATTCCAAGATAACGTTTTCCGATAACAATAATATGATTAAAGCCAAACTGTTTAACATCCATTACATACAACTGAAGCTCTTTCATAGTATTTTCAGGAGTGTCAACATGGAGATCAAGGTAAAGAGACTCTGCCACGCGGCAACCATCGGGATCACTTAATCTTTCAACTAAAATGGGAGAATTAGTATCGATACATGATGTTTTATCGACTTCTGTATCATCTGACACTGGGCATACAGAGGAATCGTCTTCACTCTCAGATCCATCGTCTGGGAGTACAAGAAAACACGGCATTTCTTTGGTTTTCTTTGTCCACGTAGAGCATTCCAAGGTACTGTCTCGGAACAATTCCCCCAAGCATGCTTGCAGTTCTCTAACTTTTTCGCGGTTAGAACACTCGAAAACAATGTTGGCATCATTTGCCTTCTTGTCGTTGCCATTAGTCTGTTCGCTTCGTATATCTGTCCTTTCATCTGTTTCCCTTTTGCTGTCCCGCAACGAATTGCTGCCCCGAAAAAATATCTCTGAACCCTCTTTTTCCGAACTGAAAATGTGAAGTTTACTGTGGTTGGGCGAGCAAGCACGTTCTCCTCCATTTCTATGATCTTGCCACCAAGAAGTTTCAACATTTTTGTCAAATATGCAGTCTGGTCCAGAAGATTTGTCCTTGGAGGTCGATTTATGTAGTATGTCCATAATAGACATATGACATCCCATACCGTAACCACCAAGATCGGACGAAATTGAGGCAGCATTATCATCTTTCCCGTTGTGCCGCATGGAGTTATTATTCTCTGATGTCTATGTAAAATACGTTTAATAAAGACTTTTTTGCATTAGTATTAGAAGTATCTGAACAGCTTTCTAATAAATACTTGAAGGGGACTATGAATTCCGTTATGAGTTTTCTCATCCATGGTTCGTTAAGATTGTTTAACCAGCTGAATGGGTCGACTGATTTTTTTGTCGATCCTGTTATACATACAAGTCCGTGGCATTTAAGAAAACAAGTTGTAACCGATTGTCTGATTGGCTGGCAATGATAATTGGATCAAACTACAGTCGACTCTCCCTAAATGCACACTCCTAAATGCACACTCTCCCTAAATGCACGCTATTCTCCGGGACTTAGTACTTACGTGCAATGGATTTTGACAATGAGAATTATTCTCTAAATGCACACACGTGATTTTGAGTATAAATTTAGTAAGCAGACATCATTATTGTCATACATCAGGTAAAAATTATAATTTGTATTACTTTAATGTATTACCGAACGTTAAACGCATTAGGCCATATTCCAGTTCAAAAATCAGACAGAACTTAAACATTATATGCTATAAAGTTAATGTAGTTTTTACGAGCGAATGACTATTTAAATGGATAGGCGCCATATTAATTGTATTTGAACATAATATCAATAAATTAATTACAGAACTTGCAGATATTTTTAAAGAGAATAGATGGATGCAGATGATAGTACAGAAATAGCAGTTGTCAGTGCAAGTGCTGCATTAAAAGGTCTGGAGCTTTCTTAATTCAACACGAAAATACGAATGAGCATTTGAAATATTCTAGAGAGATATATTAGAGAAAAAAAGCAACAATCAAGTATAGAACTACGGAAAGCAAAAATGTATTAAGGAAGTGTACATAATATTGTCACGTGAGCATGTGTTACCACTCCGTAAATGCATTATTCTCTAAGTGCACGGTTCCAAACTCTCAGTCCCGAGGTGTGCATTTAGAGAGAGTCGTAGTTGGGTCGCGAAGTGCATTAAAATATTGCATAACAAACTGCGGAATGCATTTCTTTATTATTAGATTACTTTATTATGTCGCATCATTTAAGTTTCCACCCATCATTTAAATATCGCACCTGTATTCTTTACATAAGTAATTGACCCCTGTAATTTGGTATAGAAATGAGCAAATAAGGGGGTTTAATATAATTATATTAAACCCACTTAGTTTAGTTATATCCACTCAGCCGGACTTAGCTCGATTTAGCCATTAGGTTATACCCACTCGGTGAGTTTGCGATTGTGGGAGTTGACTTGCGGAATTAGCCTGCAGGCTCGCTTTGTTTCTACCCGCAACATCGAATTGAAAGAATATTTTTTATAATCTATAACCTAACAGTATAACCTAGCACCGATTATCAACTTAGTAGGCATGACAATATCATCCACCCAAATATATACGTAGATGTTTGTTAATGATATTACTAATAAGGATCATTGGCAAAATTTTGTATTCCGTATTAAAAACAATCTAACCAGAAATGAATATACTGTATATCCTTCAAATTTAGAATCCAAGTATTTTATTTTGTACCTTTGTATGAAAAAAATCGAGCAGCAACTATTATCCAACGAACATTCTGTCTATGGAAAAAACGCATCAATGTAGTTAACGTGATTGAGAATGTTGGCTTTACCGACCAGGTGGCACACGTATGAAACATGCTCAAGATCAGTTTTATCACAATGCGGCTAAACTTGGCACTTTGGTTAATTCTATCGATACATAAAGATATTTTGCAACGATTGAAGAAAGAAGAAGATCTATACACGAATGTAATAGCGCTACGCGTCAAAAATTTTCAGACGGACGTAGTTATTCTACAACCGTAATCGTGACAGTGAGAGTTTTATAAGCTTTGCGAGAATGATTATTATTATACCAATGACTGGTGGAAACTGAGAGGTAAAGCCTCGAGGCTTCGCTTCTCTTTCCTACAAACATATAGTGAATGTGTTTAAATTAAAATCAGCAATACTCGATTGGATTTAGGTCGGGACTGTTAGAAAGCCAGTCTATAACTTCAGGTATGTTGTCCCGAAGAAAGTTTTTGCGAGGCGAATAGTATGTTTTGGGTCGTTGTCTTGTTAAACGCCATTCGTCTTCTAACAAGCCATCAATGTCTGGAAGATGTCTTCGGAGTATGTCTACATAAAATTGTTGACCATTATTTCAGGAAAACAGATCAACCTGACCCGTCGTACAGGCTCGAATATTATGGAGGTTAATAGTAGATTTTTACTGTTTTTATTGGACATAATCATGATATCACAATATTATTGGTTTTCTGTCTGCCGGTGTCGGGTTGTGTGACCTGTCGGATAACTTCCTGTTTCTGTCCATAAATAGAAATATTATGGGCTGTACGACGTGTCGGGTTGTGTAACGTGTCAGATTATGGAAAACAGTATAAAATCATATTATCTCTTATGCAGAAGCAAAGGGCTTTGTTGGACCCTTTTTAGGGTTAGGGTTAACGGTTCCAGGTTGTTTAATGTTATCATAAACCATACTGTGGGATAACCTTGCGTTTATGAATCTCCACACCATCCCGAATGCCTTGATCCACAATAGTTGTATAGATGTTTCTCATGCCTATAAACAAGCGAGCGGTTCAAAAGAAACAAATATAAAGTCCCACAATCATTTTGCAATTTTACATTGTTTCAATCAGCCTTAAATTGGTGGAAATAAGCATGATTGAATGTTACAGAAAAAATTACGGAATTTTTGTCCCACTGTAAATTGAAGCTTGTGCGCTATCCGTACCACTTTAATTCTTGCTTAGTGTCCATTCTCAGGAAATATCATACCACTAAATAAAAATAAAACCTTATCTAGATGATGTCGATTTCAATCAATTCAATCTCCCGAAGACTTCAAGCCGTGTATTGTTTATCGAACTCGCAAAACCTTTTTTCGGTGGATGTAAAAAATCTATAGCGTAGACGCAGACCAGTAAAAAAGACGAGAAGCTTGAGTAAAATGTCATCCTGTGGTTCATTTATAGGATTTGTGTTTGTGCCTTCTGAAAAAAGTCAACTGACTCCATGGCCGATAAGCGCTACAACGCTAACTCTTAATATGATAGTCTTGTATCCAACATATAAATGGAACAGATTCAGTCTTATTTCGTCGATATGGGCGCTTATCGGTAGCGTATTGTCTCTGTGGCGTGTATTTGCCGCAAAGCAAAACCAAATGGCCATAGCACACAGCATACCTTGCAGCTTACCTTTGACTATTGGAGCTATCATTATCAGACTCACCCTTGAAGATGGAACTAAAAGCCTTAAACAGAGATGGAAAACTTTTCTTGCGGTGGCAAATGGGAAAAGCCCAGAGTATACATTATTGGGATTGGATGGACGAAACAATGAACCAGAAAATGTACCCAGAGTATACCATCGGATTGAAGAAATATCGAGACTATTGGCATTATTTGTTGATTTTATAGCAATGACATACGGTCTAATGCGTGTATGGTCATGGTGGTATCCGTTTGATGCTATAACTGATACCATGTGTTTAGCTACTTTTCCAAGAAATTTCCGGCCCTCCTGCGAATCGAACACAAATGGATTTATCATCAATGACTGGAACGCGGCCGAGATTTCCGAGAATTGCATTCAATTCCAACCTGCAGTTGGATGGTTCCTTATTATTGTATATACAGCAATTTATGTAACAACTTTCGTTGGAGTGGCTTTCATGCGCGGTTATTTTATTTGGGCAATCGGCTCTATAGGAGCCGCCATATTGATAGTTTTGTCTGGAGTGCAGGCAACGTATTCTACACAAGGGTTGTGTATTGAATTCGTCGCAATCTTGATGCAGTCATCATTAGTACCTTCGACTCTCAGTAATCTAAGTTTAATTACTTTATGGTGGCATCGGTTTGGTGCGGGACAATGGTTTGTGCACTTGTTCACCATTCATGCATGAATGGTTAATGTAACATATGAATTTACCCCATTTATTTAAATTTAGTAGCATTAAAATTGGTTGATAAATGTCTTTTAGCACTTTGACGTCAGCCCTGCAGATAGGTATACAAAACGATAGTCGTTAATTTCATAGATCAGCGCAATGGCAACCAATAGACTTTAATATATATAAACATGATGTTTGTTATCATATGTGACGTCAATACAAGGAAAACTTCTTTTATACACAGAAGACGGAGAACAAGTCTAGTTGTCTTCCAGCTCAACGGCTGGAGTTGCACAGATCGAAATAATTCCATACTTTAGTAAAAATAATAAAAAATATATTGCGTCCTTTCTTTTAAAAAGTAAATGGTGATTAGTGAGCGGTGACGCTGACTGCGAATGAGCGTAGTGACGGGTCGAAATATCTAACTGTATTCACTTATTTCTTTCTGATGACGTTCTCCCATATTCGCCAAATAATATTCATTCTTTAACCTCTTTCTGGGATTCAAAGCTCAACTAGCAAGAGAAATTAATCCTGCGATTATAAATCCTATTCTCTGGCATACGAAAAATATAATATCCAATGAGAATGAAATTCTTGATAAGTATTTCTGGAACTAGTGAGCCTATCTCATACAAAAACATCTAAAAAACCTGGAACAATTCCAGTATTACGTTCTTTGCCAGGTTGTGGAAAAAATATCTTAGTCGATTTTCTTGGAAAGAACGTTTTCGGTCCAGAACTCTTCTATGCAACCTCTGATCTTGGGAAAATATTGGGACGTTTAATAGCTGTATTCAAGGACGAAAGATAATTGCTATGAATGAAACGGGTATGTTTGGCATAAATACAACAATCGCTTATTACTTCTGTACTTAACAGTTGAATGCAAAGGTATCGAACCGAAAGTCATAAAAGATTATGCCGGCTTTATGGTATTAAGTAACCATAATTCTCCACTCCGAATAGAAATAGGCGATTGCATTGTATGTTTTGACGTATCTTTTCACTGTAAGGGTAATGTGACGTATTTTAACCGTTTAGCCAAAATTCTAGAACACCCCGACGCACCAAGTGTAGTTATGTCTTATCTACTCAGTCTCGATATCTCAAATTGGAGTCCACAAGATATTCCTAGCACAAAAATGAAAACAGAAATAATACGTGAACAACTACC